CAAAGGGATCTGGCCAAGCTGGATCCATGGGCTGAGGATCAGTAATGCCAAGTGCTGAGTCCTGCCCATGTGGCATTCCAGGCAGTGCCACAGGCTGGGGCAGACTGTAAGGAAAATTGCCTGATGGAAAAGGACCTCGGGGTGCTGGTGACAGGGACTGACCATGAGCCAGCTGTGCCCAGGTGGCAAATGACATCCTGGCCTGGATCAGCAATTGTGTGGCCAGCAGAAGCAGGGCAGGGATTGTCCCTCTGTTCTCAGCACTGGTGAGGCCTCACCTGGAGTGCTGTGTCCTGTTCTGGGCCCCTCACTAAATAAAGTCACGGAGGTGCTGGAGCGAGCCCAGAGAAGGAGCTGGGAAGGGTCTGGAGCACAGGTCTGAGGAACAGCTGAGGGAGCTGAGCTGAGGGTGTTTAGTCAAGAAAGGGAGGCTCAAGAGAGCCCTTATCACTTTCTACAACTGTCTGAAAGGAGGGTATAGCAATGTGGGGGATGGGGCTCTACTCCAAAATAACATGAGACTGGATAAGAGGAAACAACCTCAGATTTCACCAGTGGAGGTTTAGATTGGATGTTAGGAAAACTATCTTTGCTGAAAGGTGGACGGACAAGCACTGCAACAGGCAGCTCAGGGCAGTGGTGGAGTCACCATTCCTGGAAGTATTTAAAAGACATGTAGATGAAGCCCTCAGGAACACAGTACATTTATACTTCCTTCACTGTATTCACTCATAATACTGAAAACAACAATAACTTTTATCTTCCTATGAACAAGGCACACCTAAGGACAACTCCCTCCAGCTCCAGAACAAAGACAACCGACTTATGAGGCTCTTGGAAGATTTTAAGATATTACAGATGACAAACTTTTTTTTTTTTTTGTAAAAATAGATGCCATAAAGTACAAAGCATTTCCATCTCACTAAATAAAGGGATGGCAGCCCTACAGATGATGCATGTTTGAAAACATTTCAATGCTGTCTCACAAGTTCAATGATATAACCGGGAAGCCGTCTGGAAGTACTTCAGTTTTTCACACAGTGCAAAGGTGCAGTTGCATCCAAAGGATTCCAACATTTCTAATTAAAGGAAGTTTTTTCTGTTGGACGTCCAGCTTACCTTTGCTTCACCAAACCAAGGCATCCTGCAATGGTTTACAGACTATATTTACTACATATGGCTACTGGATGAAGAAAGGTTGTGACTTGCAAACTCCTGAAGGAAGAAGTAATAAAATGGGTGCATGGCACATTTATCACGTTAAACTCTACCCTATAAACTTCAGTTGGAAGGAATCCTCCAGATACCACTGCAATATCTAGAAGATGGATAGCCAACAGCAAAGGTCAGAAAAGCAGACATTATTGTATCCTTAAATCCATTTAAAGATTTAAGGACTACCACAGGTACAAATATTTTAAGTGGTTCCTTTTAAAAGTGGTAGTCTTATTCCTTTATTCAGTTTCCAAAGTATTTTTAAACTAATATCAAAAGATATTCTTCACCACCTATAAATGAATGTAACTATTAGTCACACTGCCAACCTTATTGTGGCAGTCTCTTCTTATGTTTAATTTTTTTCTTTACTATTTCAAATTTCCTGAGCCAGAAAGTCCTATTAACACAGCTGATGTTTTCAAATAAATGACCGAATATTAAAAAAAATAAAATTAAAGTGATTCAACAGTTCTGTATTGCCAAACCAGACTGACAAAGTAGGGCTGAACGCTGAACACTGAAACTGCATCCATAGACCAGGCCAACAGGCACGGAATAATGGGTCTGCAGTTCTCACTTTAATACATCAGAAAACAACAAACTGCAAGCCTTATTTTTGAAGACTATAAAGGTACTTGAGTCAGGGTAATCTTCTTGGGGACAGATACTGGACGTTGTCATTACTTCAAATAAAGATACATTCTTTGGGAAGACATCCCAATGCTTGTCACTAAAATCCTGCAGTTTACACTGTGAAGAGAATTTGAAGTATTTGAAGAGGGGTGAATCATTCCCTCTCTGTTTTCCTAAAGGAAGTGCCTAACATGGCCCTTTCTCCAAGGCCTGAACACAGACAACTGTGGATCTTCCACCTGAGCTGCAGGCAGCAGCGAACCAGTTCTGTAGGTTGCACAGGCGAGCCCCAGAAGCCAAACCTGCCATGGCTCAGCAGGCCGCCCTCCCCAGCCCCCCAAACCCTGCTCAAAGTTCCTGCTGAGCAGTGCCAAGAGCAGCCTGGACAACTCCCCATAGCCACCCACCCTTCCAGCTGGGGTTTAGTCTGAAGCTCCAAGGCAGGAGAGTGGGATGGGGCTGCTCTCAAACACCAAGGCTGGAAACAGGCAATTCTTGCCAACCTCCTCAGCAAGCTCTCCACAGTCTTGGCTGGATAATCAGACCGAAGTTGAATCAGACTTGCAGCTGAATCAGACTGTGGTTGGTAAGCAATGAAACAGCCAAGTTTATTTTTTTTCCTAATTCTAACTTACATGGGAAAATGCCCATCTGTGGTGACTAGTTTTGAAGGGGTCATAGGACTAAGTATGTACACTAAGCATTTATTAGAGTACGTGGTGGGGGGAATAGAAGCAATGGAGCAGCATGAAGATGCACACTCCTCCCACTCTGCTTCCATCTATGTGACAGAAGTGTCAGTTTATCCAAAACTCTCTAGTGGTCTTAACTATTTTCAAATTTTTGACTCCTTTGACTTCTGCAATATTTCCAGGACTGTGTTGATGTCTACAATGAGAACTGTCCACTAAAGAAAATAATAATATTGACTTAGAACTCAGAAGTAAATAAACTGTCCAAAACCAGACTGAACTCAAGTTACATATTTACATCCAGTCAGCTGAGTGGCATTTAAATTAACATATGGAATAGGATGGTCTGATTCCAAGGAACAGATGCAGAACTCTCAGGACATTGAACACAGATCAGCAGTGCTACAGTATCAATAACTGAGCAGCACAGCCAGCTCTTTAAGACCAGGAGAAACAGGTACTCAGAAGCATTTGATTTCATGACTGTGCTTCTCCTTTCCATATCAAGAAGAACAGAACAAAAAACAAAGTATGAAAGTATAAATTTTCTACCAACTACTAGGGTAAACAGCTGTTTTGAATTAGTCAATGATGATGGTGTGGCATTAGAAAATCTTCCCAGAATGGACTTGAGAACACAGGTGAAAGAAGGAGAGAATGCTGGCTAGAGAAAAAAAGAAAAAGTTCTAAAAAGCCTGCCAGTATCATCTATTGAAGCCAAAAGCTGCCCATTATGTTAAATTATGTCATTTAATACAAAAAATCAACCATGTCTAAAAATAAAACACAGAACATGTTATCACATGCATTCTAAGTCAGCATTCTTAGGCTGACACAGCTGCTGCACACCCTGACACACCAGATTACAAAAAAAAAAAAAAGCAGCCCACATGCAGACCTTGCTATCTGTCACAGAAGGCAAACAGCAATGTACAATCTGTAGAACAAGTGCAATGTGCTTGCGTTAATAATAATTATTTCTTTCACAGGCATTAAAGCTAAATTTTAATTCCCTAAGTCAAGGAAATTATGACTGAGAAGCATTTGTAATTGCACTGAATTATTCAGACTTGAACAAAGAAAAATTAAAACATTAAAAGTAAATGAAGACTGAAACAGAAGCAGAAACTATTCAATGAAAAATGTGAAGGCAAGGTCTGGATTCAGAATTGTGCCATGTTTTAGTTACTTTGCACAAAACCAGCAAACATTTTATAAAATTACTGCATCAGACCTCAGAGAGAAATGCTGTGGAAAGAAGTGAGCATGAGCAGCATTTCCAGCTGCAATTGAAAACAAGCTCAAGAATTGCCTTTCAATTCCATTGCTGATGGACTACATACAGTCACACCATAGTAAGAACAAGAAAGCCAAGAACTGGAATAGGCAAAGAAAATTGAAATGAAAGACAAAACAGATTTCCAAACTGCATATGGGAGATCACAACATCTGTAAGTATCAAAGCAGGAACAATAGTAAATGATACAAGGACTAGTCTATGCTTAAGGTTTTGACATTTGTTTTAGAAACTGAGGCAATGTAAAAAAAGAAGTTTAGACATGCCCCAGATTTCCCTACTGTATTAAATCATTATGTTACTCAGAAGACACGACATGAATAAGAAGATATTAACATGAAAGCGCATGGTCAAATATACTGACGCTGCACAACGAGTGGGTGTGTTTAGCTTGTGCTAAGGCGTATTAATTATCACTCAATCTTTAACATTTCCCCTTAACATGAAGTGAAATTCGTGAGAACAAACCAATAAATTAGCAATCTAATGAAACTAATGAAAGTACTTCACGACCACTGGTTTAGGAGTGCAGTTTATGGAAGGAACACAGCAGGGAAACTTAAATTAAGGCGTGAAAACTGTCACAGGAACTTCCAGGTGAAGTATCCAACTGCATTCCAGGCAGGAAACACCACCATGGTCCTTGAGAAAAGCCCTGCCTACTTCTTTTGTTTTTACACATACCTCGTAGAAAACGGCCTTACCCCGCTATCTTATCGCACCTGCAAGAAGGCTTGATCTCCTCACCGCCCCACAAGCACCCACGTGGGTATCAGCTTCCCCCAGAAGAAGGCAAAATACGGCTTTCCCCCCACCCCGAGGAGGAAGTTCCCGGTCTTCACAGGAGCAAAATGCCGGCTCCCTTTCCCAGAGCCAGGCCACCGCCAGCAGGCGAGGATCCCGCGCTGCATCCCCAGCGAAGCCATTCCCGCGGCCAGGAGCAGCAGCAGGGACGGCGCTCTCTGACCCCGGATGGCACAAAACGCGAGGCACCGGGGATGACGTACCGCGTGTGCAGGCAGTGCTGGCCCGGGCCGTGCCCACGCCGGCAGCGACCCCCGATCCCCGGGAGCCTCCGGCCCTGAGGCCCGGGCGGGGCGCGGTCGAGCTGACCCTTCTCCCACGGTGGATCGGGCGAGGCCGCCGCCCAGGCCAAGCCCAGAGGCGGCGGCCAGGCCGGCAGCTCGGTATGAGGAGGGGGGCCCTTCTCCTACCGCCTCCATTCCCGTGCGGGAAGGTGGGAATTCCCTCCCGGCGTAACTTACCGGGAGTTCTGAGGGGGGTGCGGCGGGGCCGGGGGGAGGCGGGGTGGGAGCGCGCGCGCGCGGCGCCCTCGCGCCGCGGCAGGGGAGCAGCCTCCGGTGATCCCGCGCGCGGGTCCGCGCGCGCAACGTGCTCACGCCGCCACCGCCACCCGGCCAAGATGGCCGTCGGGCCCGGCGGGGCGGGGCCTGGGCGCGCGCCACGCAGAGGAGGGGAGGGGAGGAAGGGCGGCCCTCGCCGGGGATAGCAGGGGAGGGAAAGGCGGCCCTCCTCACCATGGAGACCGAGAGCGCGGCCGTGCGGAGAGAGCGCGGCGTCCCGGGGCGCCGAGCTCCCCGAGCCCGCCCCGCGAGCGGCGGCCGCGCTCCGAGGGGAGCCCCCGGGACGGCACGGCGCGTTCCCAGGACAGAAAGGTCTCCCTGGCCTCCGCCTCCACTGGGTAGGTGGTGGCGGGCAGCAGCAACAGTTAGACCGGGTGCTTCTCTTCTCAAGGAAAGGTGTTGCCATTCCCTTTCACGACCGCGGTTTCGGCATTAGGAACTGAGCTCCAAGATCGGATACGCCCGGGGATTGATACAACGAGAAAGGTGAAGATAGAATGGTCTTGCTAGCCTTTACCTGCCTCGGGCAGCGTGTCTTCTGCACCTGGAACACTGGGGCTACGTGCTTTTATTCCCACCGGGAAGAACTGCCATTCTCTTTCGGGAGCCCCGAAATCACCTCACTAAGGATACCATCCTCAATAATGATTATAGCCAAGGATGGCTCCCACACAAGGGGTACCACGACACCAAGGTCTTGCTGGCCTTTACCTGCCCTGGGCAGCGTGTCATCTGCATCTGAAACACTGGGACTACGCGTTTTCCTTCCGGTGGGGACGCATTTCCTGGAGCCCACCTCGGGAACTCGGGTTCCATAGCCAGCACCGAGCACGTCCCACGCTCGCTGCCACAGCGGAGGAGCCGGGACGCGGCGCTCCCGCCGGCCCCGCCCCGCCCATGGCGTCTGTGAGGGGCGGCCCCGACGTCTGAGGGGGAGCGGGCGGGGCGGCGCGCGCGCACTGCGGCCCCTCCGCGGCGGTGGCGGCGGCTGTTCCCGGTGGGATCAGGTGGGAAAGGTGTGAGCCGGGGCTCTATCGGGGGGAGGAGAAGGAGGAGGAAGGTCCAGCACGGGCAGAAGGTCGGCTGGCTGAGGCGACGCGTTCGCGCCGGGTCTGGGGGCTGCCCAGCTGGGTCCCTCCCACTGTACGCGCGGGGGTCTCGCATCTCCCCCGCGGCCGGAGAGCGGAGCCCGGGCTGGGATCCGGCGGGGCCCGTGCCGTGAGTAGGTGCTGCTGCTTCATTTCCCATACTAAAGCGGTTTGTAGGCCTGGGGGACACAGCCGCAATATAGCATGGTAAACCTGGTTAATTTTCATTATATCGATTTATAATTGTTGCAGTTATAATTAATGTTGATTGGAAGCACTACAAACAAGTCGTGGGGGGGATGGCTACCAGTTGGTTTTTCAAAGCAGCTTCGTCGTCTGGTTGTTGGTTTTCACGACAGCTTCCACCTAAATATTTACACTTTTTACTCCTCGTAAATATGTGCTTGCCTCCTTTAAGGAACAGCTTGTAGCCTTACCAGGTAACTTTGGAAAGTCTGGGCTTCAACAAAACTATTTAAAATGGTTTTTTTAGATTTTTTTTTTAGATTTTTTTAGATTTATTTCTAATGAAGTATATTTTTGACAATGAAAGAACTAGTAGTTTTCAATAACAGGCTTAAAGCAATGCACTGGAGGGAGGGTAAAAATAATAAGTGTATTACAGTTTTATTGACAGAATAATCTGAAGGATCAAATGTACAGGTGAGCTAGTTGAACTAGGGTGCTGCTGAACACTTAGTACCATTATTAAATATTAATTAAACATTAGTAATTGGAATGTTTACTGTATAATCTTCCATCTGATTAAAAAAAATAGGAAGCATAGTGGGTGACTGGTTTTCAGATGTATCTTGAGATCTTTAAAGGCCTTAGATGAGCAAGGGTCCAGCCAAAGAAAATGAGAGCAGTGATAAGAGCTTGTAAATGAGTAGTAAAATGAATAGTGCAGTTAAGAAAATCAGGGCATCTTAGGCATGAAATTCCCTTCTCTTAAGAAGAGGAAAAACAGTCGTATGGGTGTTGCAAAAATGCTGATGTAGTCACTGCAGCCTTTGTTCAGTTTTCCTGGAAAGGCTGTAGTCAGATATTTGCTAAAACTGAATAAAAGTATATGATTGGAATGTAATCAGAGTAATACTTTTTTAAAAAAAAAAAAAGAAAAAAAAAGAAACGCCATATGATATCTGATCCCTTGAAGGATTCTGAGGAGGTGGCTTGGGAAGGGAATTTGTCAGTAAGTAGAGGACAATTAACATCAGTGTGCACACAGAAAATACTCTAGTGTGGTTTGTTAAGAGTAGTCTGGATCAAACTTTTTTTGTTTTTACAGTAGCCAATGCACTTAATAAGGAAGGAATATGAGGAGTCTGTCTTAAATTTTACAGGATTTCTGCCATTGTTCAAGCTAATGAAGTGTGCTCTAAAAATAATTCTTTTTAGAGATCTTTTTTAAGAGCTTTTGAAGCTGATATAACTCACTTTTAAGCAGGGGTGTCATGAAATGTGCTTCCGGAGAGTTCAGTTTTGAGTCTGTTTTCACTGTTTCCTGTAATGTTGAATGCAAAACTAGAAGGATTGCAAGCCCTGTGCATCTAAGGGTTGGAATTAAAAACCTCCTTGAGAAGATTGGTAATCAGCGTAACTAATCTCAGTAGCATAATCAGCATAACTAAGCTTAGTTAACAAGAATTGAGGGAAGAATAGAACACAGGAATAAAAAATCAAAGGCCTGGTTAGTGGAGAGGGTGTCAGTGAACAGCAAACAGTATCCCAAAAAATACTGGGCATTTATACATGTGAGCACTGTAATGCATAGTAAAACAAATATCAATTAGAAATTATGTTCTTTCAACTAGCCAGGTGTTGCTTTGTCACATTAACAAGTGTGAGTAAATATAAAGACAAGGCAAGTGATTACTCTGCTGAAAAAGGGCCTTAGCTAAAGTGGTCTGGTTATTTTTTTAAACATTATTGCTGAATACCTAGACTGTGCAAGAATATTAGGTTTATTAAACATTGTTAGGGGAGCTTGAAAGGCATAGACACTTTATGAAAAAAGAGAAGAAGAATCTTAGAGCAAATTTGATGAGTGCCCTCACATCAATAGAAGGGTTGCTACATAAAGGCCAGTGATTAACAAGTCTTTGAGTTCTCTGTAGATCAAGAGATGCTTGTTTTTAGAAGGTGATACTTGATTTGGATGCTAAAGGAAAACTTTCAGGTTGATGAAACCTGAGGCTGGGTGTCCACAAATCTCTTGCTGGAGAAGTAACTCTATGAACAGAATCTCTCAGGCATATGCAGTTCTCTCAAGGGCCCTTACATGTGTGTATTTAAACAATTCTGTGCATACAACGTGGTGGAACTACAAGTTTTAATAGGGGAAAACTGCTTTGGGATCTGCAGATTTCCTTGAGCTTGGATTTTTATGGAGTTTTAGTAGGAAAGGCCCATGATGTATCCTTCACTGTCTCCTCTTGGGTGTGTTGTGTGCTTACACAAGGGTTTGCTTCCAGATGTGCACTTTTCAAAGGTGTCTTCTGCTGGTACCCTGAGAACAACCTGGCTGATTTGGTTGGGGAAGGCAGACTGTCCAACCATTTAAATCTATTTCTCTCTCTTCATAAACTGTGCTTGCTAAAACATCTTCAATTGACTGTTACTTGACTGTTACAGGGCTGGGATGTTTTCTGGAAAAGAGAAAACTTCTCTGAGGAAGATGTGGGATAAAGAGTTTTGGCGGGGGGGGGGGAAACTGCTGTTTATTTTGATCAAAGGATGTACAAACCACAGAGTGGAAAATGGCAAAATGGAAATGTGGCCTTCATTGTGTCATTAAGACATTCATATATTCACGCTGTTAATAAGGAAACAGCGGTCTCTTAATAATCTTTTGGAATAACTGAATTGGAAAATCAGAGATGTTTCCAGCCAATGCTTCTAAAGATGCAGTGTGTCTTTCCATTTTTCAGCACATGTCAAGAAGGCCTTCTAAAAAAATTACTTGTTTTTACACAACCTGAAAAAGCAAAGAAAGATTTTATTAGGTGATTAAATTCCTTTTAGAGCTAAGTATTGATGTCTCATTTAAAATGAGATACTTTTACTTCTGCTAGTAAAATGTCCAGAAGTGTTACTTGAGTGAGCTGGCCTGTTGCTGCATTATTTTTCCTTTATACTTCTATCAGTTTTCAAGTTTTAAAGTTCTGAGAGTATTGGGGAGCTTCAGCAAAGCAATCCAGAATGTATTGTTCTTGAGCAGGAGTTCTGTCATGAAAATCTGACTCATTTAGTTCAACCATTGAAAATTTTCAGGCTTTCTCGTCAGTAGTACACAATATGTGGCTGATTTATTTGCCAGCAGTGGTTTGGAGTTGAAATTTTGGGGTTTGAGAAGCTTTTCCTGTTAGATAGAAAGAAATAAACAGTTTAAAACAGAAGGAAACCTGAATGGTGTTTCTTGCTGTATATTTCAAACCCCCAAAATGTAATGCCTCCAACTTTTGAGAATCAGTGCAATACAGGTCTTGCATTTTTAAGTTATTTGGAACTTGCTGTGTGTGCTAAAGCTTATAAGAAGTCTCAACATCATTATCTTAAGGGATTCTGTTTACTTTGAAAATTCCAGTAATTTTTTCCTAAAAGCATGTGTAATCAACTTTGTGATGTATTCCGAGAGAGTAATGTTCTTTCTGTGATTTACCTTATTTTGGTGGGTTTTGATGGGATGGTCCTTGTGTCTTAAGGGTGGGATTTGGAGTTTTTCATTAATTTTCTCTTGAAGTCAAGAGAATGTCCAGATTTGCTGGTGATAATATTCAAAAGATGTTTTCTATGATGTTTTTGAGATGTGATCAGTTGAATTACAAGTGACCAATCTGGCTTTACTTCGTGAGGCTGAATATTCTGTGTATATTTTTAGAGGTTGGAAGAACAAAACTTTTGCTGTCTGTGTAAATCTGAGAATGAAAATGAATGCAACTCAACCTCTCTTAGTTCACTGTCACAAAAGTAAAAAAAAAAATTGCACAGAGTTTGGATTAGAAGGTCATTTGAGCTTTAAAATTCACAAGTCCAGGGTAATAGTCTCCCCAGTGCTTAATAAACATAGTTTGAATTTTGGTGCATCATGGGGGTTGGATTAGATGATTTTTGAAGGTTGCTTCCACCACTCCAAACCATTCTGTGATTCTGTGAAAAATGTTTGTTTTTCAAGTAGCTGTGAACTAAATGTTTTTTAATTTTTTTCCAAGGTTGTTTTTTGTTTAGATGGCATTAGGGTTAATATGTCTGTGGATATATATATATGACATCTGTAGGATTAACGGTGTAGTGTCCAACTTCTCTTCTGAGAGGATGGTGTTTGAACAAGGATTTTGTCTGAAGCCTTTTGTGACGCTGTTGTATTTAGATTTTTCTACACATGTAATTATTTCTTTGGATTTTGTTTATGGGAGTTAGGATTGGAGTCTTGTATATGAGAAGGCAGATAAAATATGTCAAGTTTTATGTTTGCAAAATTAAAAGAAATTACTCAAGGAATTTCAATAGAAAGTGTTTGGTGCACTGGAGAACTCAGATTTCCTGTGTCCCACAAAGAATTTTTAGCTGCAGTGTCATTGGTACATAGAAAATGTCTCTGCTTGGTGTCAGTTCTGTAGTGGGTAAGGCCAGGATCCTGTGGGTCCCAGCCTAACTCAGTCCCTTATTTGCTGTCTGGGAGAGGCAGTGGAAGACTTTTTCTGAGATTAGCAGAGCATGACATGTCATGCATGTAAGCAAAGGATGAGAGGTCAACTCTAATTCCCTGATTCTTTAGTGCTCTATGTTTAATTTTAAGCTTTAATGTAGTTCTTTCTGTGGAACTTATGTTTCTTTGGAATTTTTTTTTTTAATATTTTAAGCTACTTCCTAGGAAATAGTAAAGTGCTCTGTACTATACAAAATCCAACTTGATTAAGTTGTCGTGTATGTGATGATTGTCTGGGTGTTGAGACTGAGTGTGATTACTTGAACAATGCAAGTCACAAATTAATGACTCCAGATTAAGTTGTGAAGTTAAGGAAATGGTCTGCGAATAAATGTGGCTAGTACCAATTGCTACAAATTATACAATTTGTTTAAGCTCCCATTTCCTAGGGAGTTTTTTAGGGGAGAAACATCTTTTACTCTAGTTTCTGAATTTGTAGATTAAGAGAACTTTTAAGTGTATCTGTGGGAGAGAATGAAGTTGTACCGCTAGGCTTTAAATCAACATTTTAGATTTAAATTTCTTAAAAGCCAGAACTGTAAAAACGAAATTCTGAAACCCTGACTAACTCTGTATGCAGAAATTAGAATGATAAAAGTAAAGGATGTCTTATGAATGTTCCAAGTATGTATTGAATTCTTAAGGACACAAAATTTATGTATATGTGGAATCTCTTAGATATATTACAAATATATATTCTATATATTTATATGTATTACTTTATATATATAAATAAAACATTCTACAGATAAGCAAAAATGTATGTGTTCATATCCATAAACCACATATTCTGTGGTCTGTAATAAAAGTGTGAGGCCAAAGAATTAAACTGACTATGCAAACAGTCAAAATCCTTTAATTTTTCCCATCAAGCTAAAAATGTGTCAACTAACTCACTTGTTTTCTCTCACTAGAAATGACTACCCCAAACAAGACCCCACCTGGTGCTGATCCAAAGCAGTTAGAGAGGACTGGTACTGTTAGAGAAATAGGCTCACAAGCAGTTTGGTCTCTTTCATCCTGTAAGCCAGGTAAATCACAGCAATGGTGTAAAATGTTGAATATACATTTGTGTTTTGGGAGGAATACATCCACAACAATAAAACTGCTGTAGTGTAGGCTGTAGTCACTACAAATAATGTTGGCATTCTTTATATGTGTTACAATATGAAAGTTATAACTTTCAGAAAACTATCAGAAATCCTGCTATGAGGGACTATCTTGCATGAACTAAACAGAAATCATATATTTTATATTAATTTTTAATTTTTTTATTATTTACACAGTGAACAAACTAAGCCATGTGAGCAGAATCACACCTAGCACAGTGAAATTGTTTCTATGCTTTGGCATTTGTCTGGGTGTCTTCCATTTTTGACTAAGGATGACCATGCAGCTGGGTGACCTAAATGTTCTGGCTGTTCGTAATTCTGTGTGGGCTTAGCCATTATAGGGTGGCCCTAAAACCCTGCAAGTAAAATGGACCTGTGGTCCTGAGGTGCAGTTAGTGATACCTGCTCAAAATATCTGAAAATCTGTGTTCTTTCCCTTTGGGATGGTTGAGTTGCTATTTCATAAATATCTGTTGGGAATTGATCAGCTGTCTTGCTGCAGCCTAGGGTCAGTGATCCCTTTATGTCACAATATTGTGCCCAGGCTGAATGACTTTTGTCTGAAATCCTGGAATATTGGAGAAAAATGTCTTGTGATTTTGTTGATTAAACAGGCTGAAGGAAATTTTTTATTGCAGATTAAACTTCAGCTGCTATATTAAAACTGCAACTAGTATGAATAATCAATAAAAGGATGTGATTAATAAAAGGACAGATAACGAGGAAATAGAAAATATGAAGTTGGAGATGCTTCTTCAAATGTGATATCATTAATTAGGAATGCTGTTTTTGCCATCTATTGCCTGTTCTAGCTAGTACTTGAAAAAAGCTAAAATATTTCAGGATATGACTTGAAAAAAATGTTACATTTGGCTAAAATTTTATAGTGAATAGTCTCTGCTAATGATTTTTCTTTAATTCAGCAGCTAAGTTACAGAAGAGGTCAAAAAGTCTGTTAATTATTGCTCTGGCAAACAGTATGAGTTACTACTTAACCACTGGGAATTCCAGGTCATGTTGACATGGATTCACCCCCCACAGACCTCAACAGCATTGAGCTTCTGCAGATTTCCCTATTTAAGTTTTGTGTCAGAAATAGCATAGGTGCACCTTGGATATCTAGAAATATTTCCTAATATGTTGTAACTTGGGAGGCATTAATTTGTAACAAGTGAAGTAGAGGTATATTTGCATCACAGAAAAGGGATGGTCAATATTATCACATTTTCTTTTTCTTAGGGTTTGGAGTGGATCAGTTACGAGATGATAATCTAGAGACTTACTGGCAGTCAGATGGATCTCAGCCTCATTTGGTGAACATCCAATTTAGGTATTAAAATATACTCCCTGTGGGTTAGGGTGCTTTGTGTAACTTTATATCGATTACTGTTTATCCAGATAGGAATTTGGGAAGTGCAAGAACTCCTGGGTTAGTTCTGTTACCCAATTGGTAAGTCAGATAGCATTTCTGAGAATCAGGTTTTCACATGTTATGATCACTAAATGCCTAAATAAGCAACGAAGAGGAATGTTTAATGGTATGTCAGTTGTGACAGCATCACATTTACTCATATAAGGTGACTTGTGTTCTGATTTTGTGTCTTTGAATGTCATTTGGAGGATAGATGACTCCTATGTAATGTAACAGATGAGTTTTATTCTGTCCTGTGTAGGATGCTTTCAGTACTTTTTCTTTAACCAAACTTGAGATTAGGTATTTTATTCTTTTTTATTTATTTTCTTGAGAAGGCCTTGGTCTAATAAGAGAGTCCGTATTTGAAAAGCCTAACCTAAGCTTCATGATTTCCAAGTGCTTATTTGCATTTGTTTCTTGCTATACTGACATTTTAGAAGGCAGGCAAAGGAGAATGGTGAAAATCAACTGTGTGCATAATGTAATTTGGAAAGTCATCTAGTTCTTCAATAGAAAGTTTCTTAGGAATCACTAGGCACACTTATATTCATTTTCAGGACGTTTAAATTCTTAGTTATTGCAAGCTAGCAACAAACTCATCCTAAATATTTTTCTTTATGATGCTTACATAGCTTGTGTTGCTTCTTGCAGAAGAAAAACAACAGTGAAGACCTTATGTATTTATGCAGACTACAAATCTGATGAAAGTTACACTCCAAGCAAAATCTCTGTCAGAGTAGGAAATAATTTTCATAATCTACAGGAAATCCGGGTAGGTCAATGATGCTTTGCATTCTGTCTTAAAACAGCTCTCTCTTGTTAGGACATCTGATGTAATGAAGTGGTTTTTGGAAGTAAAATATGGCATTGGGCTTGAAGGGGGAGAAATATCTGGGTTTATTTTGATGTTTGCTTTTAGTTTTTATCTTGTAAATTTAGTAGTGGGGTTTCTGTTTTTTTTTTCATCAGACTCTTTTACCAAACATCATTATAATTGAATATGTTCATAAATTAAGTTTATGTTTTGAGTATTGTTTCTTTTATTTTTCTTAGTGGGCAGTAACTGAGATCTAGAAATTTTGGATGGGATGTGGTTTTTTAACAATGTGAAGTAAAATCCAATTTTCAGTTCCTCAGGTCTGCTAAAGATTTTGAATGAGACAGAGCTGTAGTGTTTTGTTAGTGTTTTTATTTAAAATATGATCAAATCCAGTATTTTTTATGGTGATGCTTCTAGTCAGAGCTGCGATAAGATTTGAGTTGCTTGGAGTCTTAGTTTTGTTTACCTTTATTTAACAGTGTAAGTGAATTTGAAATAATCCATGATCTTGGTAGAAGTCCACCTTGGAAACTAATTGGGTTACTCATAAGCAGGTATCTTTGCTCATTCTGAGTCAGGGTAGCCTCATGTTTCAAATTCTTCTTTTCTGGAGCTCAGCAGTTACTGGCTGGTATTTCAGGAAGGTTTAATTTACCAGCCTTATATGGCAGCTATTACAATAACAGAAGGATTGGAATGATGAGAAAAGGGTGGTGCTAAATGGTGGCTTGAATTTTTACTCCTGGAATTTTTATTTTTTTCACTTTGGTTTTCAGTCCAAACAACTCAAAGTCCCAAGAGCAAGTTGTTAGTAGAAGGTTGTAGATGCTGTGTGAGTAAAAAGAAGTGTAGCAGACATGTTAGCATTGTGTATCTTATCTACATTCTTTCAATGACTTGTGATGTTCTCTCAAGTTTTGACCTATACTTTTATCCTAAATCTTAAATGATTTAGACTTTCTTGACATGTTTTATTTTTCTTTAATTTAATTAAGTATTCTTTTGGAAGAAATGAATCACCACGTTATTTTGACTTTCATCAACTGCAAATTCTGCCTTTCCATCTTCCTAATTATATCGTAGCAATTTGAGAGCTACACAGTATCTAAAGACCAGCAGCTGGATCCCGTCCCCTCTTAGGCTGCGGGTCAGTTTCCCGAATGTCCACTAGATGTCATTGTTGTCCTTAATTATCACTTCGATTTTTTTTGCGCTTTTATCTGCCCTTTCAACAACTAAATGATTATTCTTTTTGCAGTCATGTTTAGCAGAGCACTATACATCTCGTTGCCTAACTTAAGTTTCTCATACAGTGGTAAACTCCTGCTCTTGAGGTTATGTGTGGTATTAACATATTAAAGATCTATAAAGCAATAAAATGTGTAACAAGCGTATTAGTTTTCTCCACTGTCTCAGGCAGTATTTCTTTAGCTCTTTTCTTGCCAAACACGGGATTCTATGCATAATGTATGTAGTTAAAAATGGTACTTCTATATGAAACAAGTTACTAGCATTTTTATGGTATATGAATGTGACTATAATATGATCCATGACAGAGTAATTCTTATGCATACCACATGCTCATGTGCTTTCTTTATTTCCAAACTGAGGAGAAAATATGGTCACGCTTCTTATTAATGAGATACAATACTCTGATGCTGTAAAATGCTTGTGACTGTCATCACCATGATGTTACATGTTGCTATCAATTTTCATATTTCCTAAACTACTAGTTACTGTTCCTTAAATTTTCCTTCAGTCCTGAAAGTTTCTTCAACTTCTCTGACACATGGGGAGGTTATTAAAGCAGTGTGAACAGTTATGAGCTCTTTACAGAAATCTGCTTAATTATACAATGATTCCATTGGCTTCAGTACTGATTAACTGGGTGGAAAATCAGGCTAAAGCATTTTATATTTTTCCATGGATGCTTGCCCAACTCATAGTGTCTAATGAATGTATTTTCTTTCCTAATGGTCTAGTTTTCAACACAATGCAATATGCTGTTAGGCTAAACTTTGTCACAAATAAAAGATAAGCTTTAGTTTCTATTCTAGTATGTAAGCATATCTTTTTTGGAACCTAAGATGAATGTATTTTCTGAATAAAAGGTTTCTTCCCCCTCGTTTGTACCCTATCATAAGGGTGAAAATGGCCCTTGAAATCTGGCAGGATTATTCCCTTGCTCGCTACAGTTAAGGTGTGTGCACTCAGCCTTCTCTGATGACTTAAGTGCCTTTGTATCACAGCTGTTAAGCTTGGAGAGCAAATATTTTTCTCATTTCCAGTTGTGAAGTTTTCCCACATGATGGTACAAACAGTCTGGACGGACAAGATACTCTGTAGTGGCATTTTTGGAACAGCATCCAGACTGCTCAGGATATAATTTAAATTCTTACAGTTTTTCCATGATATGAAAATAACCCACTGCAAAGGATATGAGTGAAATGCTCTCTGTGAGGTATCTTTGGTCTCTTCAAGTGATGCTCATCTGCTTGTTGCATTTGTACCTGTCCGAGACATTTAGATGTTCAGGAGTTCATCTTGTTGTAAGAAGATTAATTACTTTGATGCTGAGTGCAGGTAGTATTTCAGGGTATATTCTTTATCTGTATATATAGTATGTATATACACACCTTGAAGTTACAGTGGTTTCTGCTGTCAGCCTATAATGTAGGGTCTTTACACAAACTGGGTGAAAGCTCTATAATCTTAATACACCTTTGATGGCAACAGAGGTCTTTGTTTTGTGTTTTTGTTGGAGTTTGTTTTTTTTGTTTGCTTTTCCTTTGGCCTGCTCTCTGGTTTGTTTTCAGTTTTTCTTTTATCCCTTTTGGCCTTGCCTGGTGTTTTGTAACCAGGTGCAAGAACAGCAGCCTCCCTGATGGTGTGGGGTTGTGGCTGAGCACCACGGACAGGGCTCCTTCTTCACTGTTTGAAGAGATTCTGCACTAGAGAGGGGATTTACCAAGTGGAGGAATGCCCAAGCTGGGAGGCTTTTCCAAGAGGTATTTAAGGAAGTGACCCCACAGTAATGGCGTGTGGTGTCCAGTGACTGTAGTGAAGAGGTTGGACTTTGCTCACTGCTGGATTTCAGAAAATCTGTGGCTATCTTCACCTTTTTTCTGTACATGAAGTAGACTTAGATCCTGAGGAGTGAGGACTAGCTTGTCATAGGGCTGTTGCAAGGTAATCAACCAAGAAAATATATTCTTGTGAGTCTCTAATCAAACATCTCTAAGGTGCATTTTAAACTGCTTTCCACTGAAGGTGGAGTACTGAGTTGCTACTCCTTTAGGTTCCTGACTAAGCTTCAGGTACTTTGGTTAGAAACCATTCCTCTGTGTTATTTGTTCCATTCAAGAAAAGAGGCATTTCTGACCACTAATTATTCCTTACATTCAGCATGTCAATTAAAAATAGTCTGCTTTCTGAAAACTACTCTTCATGCTAAGAAAAGTCTGAGGGAACTTTATAGAATTTCAGTCTGTAGTCTTTCCTTTCTGTCTCTAGGATGCTCCATAGACACAATCATCACACTAATTGTTCATTTTTATTGTTACCTTGCTGTTAATGCTGGCTGGGCATGGATTTGTTTCATCAGGATGCACACAGTAAGGACCGTTCCTTACATCTAAAGGACTTGTTCCTTACATCTAAGTTTACTGGTGCTGGAAATCTGCAAAGCAGGGGAGTAGAATGCTCCACTGGTATTAGCTGGTTATTAAGCCTTGTGATTGATGTCAAGGGTAAGGATCAAATTTCAGAAGCAGGGTTATTTCTATTTGTACTCTGTACAAATTTCCACTATCCAGCAGAGGATATTTTGTGAATCCCCAACTGGGATGTTCACATGAACTCATCTTTACAAAAAGAAGGCAAATTAAATGATGTAACATTACTGTCTCTGCCAATATCATCATCACTGTAGGTGATATGACCTTTTCATCATTCATGTGCTTATGGAAATAACTAATATATGCTTCAAACTGTGGAAATTATGAACAGGATTACAATTTTCCTGCCCCTCGATACTGTGGAATAGTAAGACATCAGAGCAGAGCTTACTGTGCAGTCCTGAAAAATGTAGTTATTGAAATTGCGTTTTATGCATATGACGTGTGTATACAAATAGGGAGGTCCACATTAGAGCTAGTAAAACAATGTAAGATTATTTTGGCCCACACACTATAACATTTTTAAGCATTTTTATCTTACTTTGCTATGAAATGGTATTTCAAGAGGAATAAGCACCTCTCCTGTGGAGGAAAACTAAACATGGTTTTTATGGTACATGTTGCATGTAAAAGTTTTGGTGTTTTTTTTTGTATCTGAGCATTCAGAAACAGCTCTGTGAAGAAATCTTTTCTTGCCACAGAGGGGCTCAATTAGGCAAGGGTACCTTAAAGAGGCCCTGTATTTTTAATTATGTCAGTCTGACTACTTTCTGAAGCAGAGGAAAAACCATGTGAAACAACGTGGCAACAGCTCTATGGAAGGCAGCAAGTTGATGAAGTACAGAGCTTTCCTCAAGGGAACTCAAGTACAGAGAACGTAGGAGCTGATCGAAGCACTGAATGTTACATATGTGTGAAAGCCTCTCCTGCACTCACAATCTTTTTCATGATTATTCTTTTAAGTTCTACTGTGGGAAAGAAATTGGAAAATCACCACCCTCACAGTAAAGCATTTCTAGCTGATGCCTAATCTAAGTCTTAGTTTAAGGCCATTCCCCCTTGTCCTATCATTATATTCCCTTGTAAAATGTCACTGTTACTCTTTTTTTGTAGGCTCCCTTAGGTGCTGGAAGGTCACAATTAGGTCACACCACCACCTTCTCTTCTTATAGCAAGTGTTTGATTACCTTGTTTCATCTCTTTTCTGTCCATGAAGTTTTAGTAGGAGGATTTGAAAAGATTTCCCCCAATTCTTTGTTTGTTAAATATTTTACT